CACTATGAGTCAGTACTGATTTGATGGCACCTAAAAACAACAACTCCCGTGTTCCATGCTTGTTACTTCATGGCACCAAAAGCTTTGACTTATAACTATTAGTTCTTTACATACAAACTAATTAGGGACAGAAATAAATCTTGTCTATGGACAAATTGGATCAATAACCAACTAGGATATAAAGAGTATATAGTTCAGGAAAGGTATAGACTAAGAATATTGAAATTTAGGTTTGAACTGTTGTCAAGTGTCATCGAGTCAGTTCCAACTGATAGCAACCCTGTATAGGGTTTCCAAGGAGCAGCTGGTGAGCTTGAACCACCGACTTTGCAGTTCAAATGGCTTTGCAGTCTGGCACATTAGCCCACAGCACCACACCAGGACTCTGGGTTTGAACTGTAGAAAATGGAAAACCTCTTTCTTCTAAACTACAGGTTTCCTTTTTATTTTTAAATGAAATGTTTTGAATATATATTTTATTTATTCAAAATATTTTGAATATACACTAAAAAAAATACATATCACTGTGCAATTCTACTAAATAGAAATACTAAACCTTAGTGTTTTGTCTCTAACTCCCAGCGATTCTCACAACTAGGATGGTATGACTTTCCAAGTTTGGTCATAAAAGACCTTGGGCTTCCTTCCACCAGCTCTCTCACTAGTTCCGAGGGAAGTGTGCTGCTATGTCATGAGGAGGAGACTCAAGCAGCCCAGTGGGAAAAGTCCAGATGTAAATGCACTAAGGCAAGTGCCAAGCATGTGATGCCCTCCAGCCTCATCAACACCGGGACTGCAACTGTATGAGAAACCCCAAGACAGAAACATCCAACTCGGTAAACTGCTTCCAACTTTGGTTATGCAACAATAGACAACTTAAGAAACACCATGCAACTACAAATCAGTTTTGTCATCCTAGCATTCTGCCTTGTTTACTCTAGGTCTTTTCTTAAAACCTACACACACACCCAAAGTACAGTTGAAACCCTGGCTTCTTTTCAATCCTGTCCCTGCCTTTTGTTTCAGCAGAATCCTGAAAAACCATTGTGGCATTCTCTGCACTGAATGTCACCTTTCCTGGGGTTAAGCCACCCAAAGCACCTTCTGGGAAAGCAGCTTCTTTCTACGTTGGTTTGCTGCTGCTTCCCAGGGTCTGGCCTATCTGCCTTTCCTACTTGCTTTGCAGAAAAGAACAGAAGGCATTATGTTTCAGAGGATCTTCAGACATCTTTCAGGATGGTTTTCCTTTAGTGCCCACTTGGCTACTAATTCTATTTAGGTCTCTCATGCAACCCTAACATTAGCTTTCCTCTTGGGTTTGTTTGGTTATAATTTGTATAACTGCAGTGCCAGTTCAAAAGATTTCTGTTTGAAATATGAGGGGATTTCAACAAGTTTATGGGAAAATGGATTATATATATATATATATATATATATATACATATACATAGAGAGAGAGAGAGTCCTGGTGGGGTGCTGTGGGTTAATGCACTGGACTGCAAAGTTGGTTTGAATGGCAAGGTTGGCGGTTCAAGCTCACCAGCCGTTGCTATGAGTCAGAACCAACTCAACATCACTTAACACCACCACCACCACATATATGTGTGTATGTGTGTATATATGTTATGTGCCGTGGAGTCGGTTCCGACTCATAGAGACCCTGTACAGGGTTTCTGAGGCTGTAAATCTTTATGGGAGCAGAAATCCTCATCTTTCTCCCGCGGAACAGCTGGTAGTTTTGAACTGCTTACCGTGAGGTCCGCAGCCCACTTCGCTACCAGAGCTCCTTGTGTGTGTATAAGTATATATGTGTGTATGTGTGTGTGTGTGTATCATGGTCATTATGTGCCATGGAGCCGGTTCCGACTCAACAACCCTGTATGGAGTTTCTCGAAGCTGTAAAGCTTTACAGGAGCAGAGAACCTCGATTTGAACCACAAGGTCACTTGTGTTTGTAAACCACAAGGTCACAACTGCTGCTTGTAAACCCTATTTAGGGTTGCTGTGGTTCGGAACCAACTCAACGGCACTTCACAAGAACAAATATATATATAAAAACTTTCTCAACACAAGCTCCATCAAGTTCTAGATACTTTTATAAGCAATGATATCAGCCATTTAGTCCATCTCTAAAGAACCAAGGGTCCTAGGAATTTAACCATGTCAATGCTATCTTTTAAAATTGTGAACTGAAGAAAAATGGGTGCCCTCTAAAGATTTTTTTAAGATTAGTAAGCAGAAAGAAGTCAGAAGGAGCCAAATTAAGACTGTAAGGTAGAGTCCTGGTGTGGCACTGTAAGATAAGCACTAGACTGCAAGGTTGAACTGCAAGGTCAGTGGTTCAAGTCCACCAGCTGCTTCTCATAAACCTTAAACAGGGTTGCTATCAGTCAGAACCAACTCTTCGGCACTAAATAACAAGGTGGATGCCTAGTGATTTCCCAGAGAAACTTGGAAAATTGCCTTGTTTAATGAAATGAATAAGCAGGAACATTGTTGTGATTAAGGTGAAGCTTTCTTGGAGGTTTTTCTGCTAAAGCTTTGCCTAACTTTCTGAAAACAGTTTCATAATAAGCACATGTTAATCATTCTTTGGTCTTTTAGAAAGTTGACTATCAAAATGACTTGAACATCCAAAAAAAAAAAATGTTGCTATGACCTTTGCTCTTGACTGGCCCACTTCTGCCTCTTGGTAGCCAGTTTGAATGTGCTTTGTCTTCAGGATCTATGGTAAAGCCATGCTTCATCTCCCGTTACAATTAAACACTTCAAGACTTTGACTTTGATACCACCTATTTAAAATTTCCGTAGTATGCTCTGTTCTTATCTGCAGTTGATCTGGGTGCAAATTTCGGCACTCATCAAGCAGAAAGTTTGCCTAGCTTTTTCAGTCAGAATGTGGTGTTGGCTATTGTTTTGCTATTGTTTTCCTTTTTCAATTAGGGCACAAGCATTTTTTTCTTGCAAATTGACATGGGTGGTCTACTGCTGTGAGTTTCTTCAATGTTTAGATCCTTCTTAAAATGATTTAAGCTGATTTATTTGGAGCATTGTTCCTATAAGCTTTTCATAAAGCATCAATTGCACTATTCTACACAACAAATGTTTATTCTTGCTTCCTTATTATTCATGCTGCTTTGATAGTGTCTTTTTGAACTCTTGTCTTACCCACTTCTTAATGCCTCAAACTACGTTTGGACCTAACAAGTGTTGTGGCCGTCGGTTCAGACTACAGTGGTCCTGCAAAGGGTTTCCAAGGAAAACTGGTGGGTTTGAACTACCAAGCTTTTTGTTAGTAGTCTAGTGCTTATCCTACAGCACCACACCAGTTGTTAAATGCCATCCAGTGGGTTCCGACTCATGGTGACCAAGTACAGGGTTTCTGAGCTGTAACGGGAGTTTGAACTGCTATGGTTCAAACTAGCATTGTGATCCTGCCTACAGCGCCAGTTCAAGTGTTATTTGGTGTAAAATTTTCTTGAAATCCATGCATAATTTCTTTAATTTCCCATGAACTTTTTACTACTCATACCTGTGCCAAATCAGATTCTTTCTGGAGCTGTGAAAAGCTATCTTTACTTTGTAAGTAATTATTGGTGGGTTTGAACCAACTTAGTGATTACAAGTCCAGTGCTTACCCTACGGCAACACACAAGGACTCATTCACTTTTTAAGTGCCATCAAGCTGGTTCTCATAGCGACCCTGTATAGGGTTTCTGAGGAGTGGCTGGAGATCTTGAAATGTGGACCTTGCAGTCCAGTGCATTGACCCGCAGCACCATACCAAGACTCCTTTGTTAAGTGCTGTTCAGTCAATTCCGACCCATAGCAACTGGTGAGCTTGAACCACTGACCTCACAGTTCAAACAGATTTTGCAGTGTGACACATTAGGCCACAGCGCCACACCGGGACTCCAGTCAATTATATGCTTGAAAAAAAAATATAAACCTCACATGTACCATGAATTATCTTTTCCCTTAACCTGTACAATGTTGACACTCTTGATATATTCCTCCAATTTCACTCTTGTTAAATATTTTGTTCAGCATATACATAGCAAGTTTCTACATGTACATCGAAGTGTGTAACCATTTGCACTGTACTTTTCTCCAAGCTGTTTCATTGCTCTTGAATCTTTGAGTTGCTGTGAATTTGATCCCAATATAGTTCTTAAAAACACTGAACCTGAAATACTCATCAGTTTTAAGATTTCATGGAGAATATTTTTGGTTAAGGTTTCCATCTCAGGCCAATTGTTTCAAGGGTTCACTCTCCCTCTATGGCTTCAGAAACTGAGTCCATCAGAATCTGACAAATCAAATTTACAATATTCACAACTACCTGCTTTTTATACCAAATGCATTAACAATCACCTAGGAGCTCTGGTAGCGTAGTGGTTATGAATCGAGCCGCCAACCTTAATTAAGGTCAGTGGTTCGAAACTACCAGCCACTCTGCGGGAGAAATATGAGGCTTTCTACTCCTGTAAAGATTTACACCCTTGTAAACCCTGTACAGGGTAGCTATGGGTTGGAACTGACTCGACTGCACTTAACAACAGTCAAGAGGTAGGCCCTGATATGGTGCTGTAGGATTTAAGCAATGGACCGATTCACTGTAAAGCTGGTAGTGAAGGCACATAACCATGAAGCGCTACATTAGATCTTTTTTAGAACTGTCACTCATTTCTCCAAGCCTATGAAAAGGTTTTGACACCAACAAACCTGTATCTTAAGGTACCTAGTAAGGAAGAGGGGTCCTTGACATTGCCTCCTGGTTACAGATTCTACCTACCAGGTGTAGATGTAAATTGGATCAAGGCACTTTTAAGAAAAACACAGGAGTCAAAAACCTTTCTTAACACTTTTACTTTTGAGACATGATGGGAAAATCTCATACACACATGGAAAAACAAAACATGATCATAGTTGACAGTAAAGACAACCTAACCAGAAAGCTTTGTTAGGTAACACAGAAACTAAAGTTGAGTGTGACATGCTGCAGGACTGAAAGGAATTAATATTCTTCTCCTTCTTCCTCCCCTTCTCCTTCAACAGAATCCACACCAACCTCCTCATAGTCCTTCTCAAGGGCAGCCATGTCCTCACGCGCCTCAGAAAACTCTCCTTCCTCCATCCCCTCACCCACGTACCAGTGGACAAAGGCACGCTTGGCATACATCAGGTCAAATTTGTGGTCCAGGCGAGCCCAGGCCTCAGCAATGGCTGTGGTGTTGCTCAGCATGCACACAGCTCGCTGTACCTTGGCCAAGTCTCCACCAGGTACCACAGTGGGAGGCTGGTAATTAATACCAACCTTGAAGCCAGTGGGGCACCAGTCCACAAACTGGATGCTTCGCTTGGTCTTGATGGTGGCAATGGCAGCATTAACATCTTTGGGAACCACGTCACCACGGTACAACAAACAGCAAGCCATGTATTTACCATGGCGAGGGTCACATTTCACCATCTGGTTGGCTGGCTCAAAGCAAGCATTGGTAATCTCTGCTACAGAAAGCTGCTCATGGTAAGCTTTCTCAGCTGAGATGACGGGAGCATATGTGGCCAGAGGGAAGTGGATGCGGGGATAGGGCACCAAGTTGGTCTGGAATTCTGTCAGATCGACATTCAGGGCACCATCAAATCTGAGGGAAGCAGTGATGGAGGACACAATTTGGCTAATAAGGCGGTTAAGGTTAGTATAGGTTGGGCGCTCAATATCGAGGTTTCTACGACAGATGTCATAGATGGCCTCATTGTCTACCATGAAGGCACAATCTGAGTGCTCCAGGGTGGTGTGGGTGGTGAGGATGGAGTTGTAGGGCTCGACTACGGCTGTGGAAACCTGGGGGGCTGGGTAAATGGAGAACTCTAGTTTGGATTTCTTGCCATAATCAACAGAGAGGCGTTCCATCAGCAGGGATGTGAACCCAGAACCGGTTCCCCCACCAAAGCTGTGGAAAACCAAGAAGCCCTGAAGTCCTGTGCATTGGTCAGCCTGCAAAAGAAGAAAAAGAGTAGTTCAATGATGGGTCAAATTTTTATTTCATTTTTTGAAGTCAGAAACCACATCATGTGCATTTCACAATGGAAAACTATACAACAACCATCTGCTTTGTCTTTTATATTGGTATTAATACACCTGCATCCCAAATTATTCCAGAACCCTTAATTGTGTGGTTTAGAAATCCAGTTAATTTAATGAGCAATCTAAGTCTCTCTTTAATATCCAAAGAACAATTCCTGAAGTTTACAGTCTTCCCCCATATTAAATGAAATATTGTATTTACCAGCTTGCGGATCCTGTCTAAGACCAGATCAATGATCTCCTTGCCGATGGTGTAGTGCCCACGGGCATAGTTATTGGCAGCATCTTCCTTGCCTGTGATGAGCTGCTCAGGGTGGAAGAGCTGGCGGTAGGTGCCAGTGCGAACTTCATCTGCAAAAGGAGAAACAAGCAGCCACCCATCACTAACAACCTGCACAAGCCTTTCAATGTAGTCTCCAAGGACTGTGCTCTGGTGGCAGGTCCCTGGGATCTCACTTGGGCTACTGACTTCAACTCACCAATGACTGTGGGTTCCAGGTCTACGAACACTGCTCTGGGCACATGCTTGCCAGCGCCTGTTTCACTGAAGAAGGTATTGAAGGAGTCATCTCCTCCTCCAATGGTCTTGTCACTTGGCATCTGCCCATCAGGCTGGATGCCATGTTCCAGACAGTAGAGCTCCCAGCAGGCATTGCCAATCTGGACACCAGCCTGGCCGACATGGATGGAGATGCACTCACGCTGTGGAAAAAGGGAAAAAAAGAAAAACAAGTATTAGACTAATGATTACTGTGATATGAAATAGGTATTTCCTTATTTACAAGGTCTATGTGTATTTTCATTACCGTTTTTCTTAACTATAATAAAATGACTGTACAAGAGATAATCCTTCAATCTCCTCCCACCGTGGAGGAGGTGGTCAGACAGAAAACACATGGCCAAAACTGAGGAGAGAAATGGGCGGGGCTCTGCCTCTGCGACACAAGTGAGAAGAAATTCAGCAGTGGGCCAATGCAGATCCTGAGGGGCAGGGGCCTTCCACCCTCCCTTCCCCTTTAGTGTTGGGCACAGTCAGTCACACCCACATGTTAGGGTGCAGCAGGCAACTATCAGCAGCCTAGATCTGGACCTAGATCGGATTTCCATTCCCTCAAAATCCCTCACAGCCCCCACCTGTTCCCACTAGCATTCCTAACACAGCAGGGAGGCCAGGAGGGGCCAGATGGTCTCTACAGGCTGTTGGAGTTAATTGTCCTAATTAAATCAGTAGCCAGTTGTCCTGGAGTCTCAATTCCCGATGTGTATCAAAATAGAATCACGCTCCATAGGCTTTTCCACAGCTAGGACCACCACGCCTTTTTTTTTTTTCCACGACACCTCTGGGAGGACTCCAGCCGCTTATCTTTCCGCTTAGCAGCCTTGCGTTTTAAACACACTATCAGGGCTCCTCTAAACCACCTAGGGATTCATACATTGGCCTAAAACTCAGTAAACTAATATGGAGCTTCTCCGCAAATTTTCGAAATTACGTAAAAGTAGGAAAACTCGGGGCAACAAGCGACACACCCTACAACCATAAAACCGCAGCCTTGCAGTGCGCATGCGCGCAGACTGCAGTGGCGGTTTCCCATAGCTCACTGGCGGGAAGGTAACGGTCGCGCCTGCGCTTTTGTCTCTCCGCTGCTTCCCGCCCCCACTTTTCGCGCCGAGGAGGAAGTGAGCTGAGTCAGCGCCCGCCTACTCAAAGACCGGGGGAGGGAGGGGGATGGGCACGCGCGGGAAAAGACTGTCAGGAGTCTAGGCGCCGCGCCCAGGATTTAAAGGCTAGTAGAGGGCCTGCTCCGCCATCCCTTCTCACCCTCGCAGAAAATGGGGAGGGCCCCTCTCTGCCGGCCACAGCCACAAAGAGCGGGATCTCACCTACTCCCACCCTCTCGTCTCCATTTCCCCTGCATAAGGACAGGGTTGACTCCTGCTCTCCAGAACTAGAGACCCTCTTGCCGTCCTGCCCCGCTTATGTCTTTTCCCGAGGGAGGCTGGTACGGCGCGCGGCCCACTCACCATGCTGGCTACGGGTTAGGAGGTGGAGGAGGATGCAAGAGCAGACACCGGGTCCCGGTTACCGTTCTCGACAAGCTAAGAGTCGAGGTAAGTAACGCACTGGCATGGGGGCGGTGCTGGAGCGACTTAAGTAGCTGCTCCGGGATGGAGGGCGGGCCCACCGCCGCGGCGGCCCGCGCGCCCACTCGGCGCTCGGCCTGGCTGCCGCAGAGGCGGGGTCCTCGCCCGGAACTCCCTCCCGTCGCCGGTCGTGCGGGGCGGGGTCCACCGCGTCTGCAGACCGCCGGCTCCAGTGCTGCAGTCTAAGGCGCATGGCTGCCAGCCCTCGGCTGGGGACGGAAATGAGCCAGCAAGGAAATGGGAAAAGAGGCTTGCTTCCATTCCAGGGAACCCCAAGACTGGAGACATCCCTGCAGTTTTCAGCATAAGGCATCGGAAGTGCTTCTGGTCCAGATAGCTCAGTTGATCTCTTTCATGTTGCCACAGTTCATCAAGTTCGTCACTGCCCTTTTCTTTTCGTGCCTTCTGTATTTACCTGACAAGGTGGAGGTTGCAAGGTTTAGAAACATAAAAGATTTATTTGGTTTATTGTAAACTAAAGATAACATAACAAACACTTGAAGCAAATTGTATTTCAGTCATTCGAAGACTTGTGAAAAATTGAACGTTGAAGCTATTGAAAGGGCGAGTAGGCTCCATTTTCAGACCTAAAGACACCAAACTTATGGAACAGTTCTAACTGGTAGCCATGGTTTTGATTCTATGTTTAGCGACCCAATAGGACAGAGTAGACCCCCCCCCCCATAGGGTTTTCAAGATAGGATAAGAGCTGGATTGCTAACCACAAGGTAGACAGATCAAAGTCACCAGCCATTCTATAAAGGGTCACTATGAGTCAGAAGCGACTTCAGGACACTTAACAACCATCTTTACAGAAGCCTACTGTCAGACATTTTCCTCTTGCTGAATGGGTAGTGAGTGGCTTTGAATCATTGACCTTTCAATTAGCAGCCTAACACTTAACCACTGTGCTATCACTGGAACAGCCCCTGTTGGTAAGTTCTGTGTAGTGGGTTCTGACTCAGGGATCCTATGTAGGATTTCTGAGAGCAGCTGGTGGGTTTGAACTGCCGACCGTGTGGTTAGTACACCAGAGTCTATCCTACAGTGCTACACAGAGCTTTGTTGTTTTTAAGTGCTGTGGAGTAGTTCCAACTCATAGGGACCCTGTATAGGGTTCCCTCAGAGTGATGGGTAGGTTTGAACCCCCAGCTTTGCTGTTAGTAATCCAGTGCTTATTCTACAGCACCACAGCAGGACGGCACACAGGGTTCTAAGAGACTTTCAAAAAGGAAGACTTAAAGACCCATTTCAAATTTGGTAACTGAATTGAGGAAGTGCAGACAGAAACTTGGTTAGGGAGAAAACAGTCTGACACTAAAGGATAGGGGAAGTAGGAATTCCTTGTGCTGTTAAGAGTTTTGTAAAGACTGCTGCTTTCTGTTACATCAAGATACAGTAGTTGCTTGGAGCTTAGGGATAGGTGATTCAAGTTCGGTAAGTAATACACTAATTCTTTATTTTTTTTCTACCAGGTAAAATGATTCTGAAACTATCAACAACACTGCTAATCCTTGGAAATGCTTAAGGTTGTTAGATTTAAAGAGTAATTTTACAAATGGTCCTAGTGCAAACTTATTACTGTTACTAGATACATTGTTAAAATTTCCTGCTTGCAATACTGTAACAAAACAGTAAACACAACCAGACCAAAAACCAAATCACTGCCATTGAGTAGATTCTAACTTATAGTGATCCTACATTGTGTTGTCTATGCGATTCCAATGTATAGTGACCCTGCATAGGGATTCCAAGAAGCGGCTTGTGGGTTTGAACTTTTAATCTGCAGTGCCACACCAGGACTCTATCCCCTATAACAAGACAGTAAAACTTAATGTTCAGTTATATGGGAAGCTCTGGTGACCAACTCATAAAGCACTGGGCTGCTAACTAAACGCCAGTGGTCTCTGCAGGAGGAAGACTGCTTCTGTGAAGATTTGCAGCCTTGGAAACCATAGGGGTCACTTCTACTCTGTCCTACAGGGACAATGATTAGTTGGAATCCACCAGATGGCAATGATTTTTAAAATTTTAATTATACTATTTTTAGATTTGGCAAAGCCTTCACCCTTCATTTTAGACAAAAAACAAATACACATATTATGTGTATATTTTTAATGGATATGTATTTGTATTACATACCGCCTGTATTGGAGTCCAGGACTCCTGGTGTGGTACTGTAGAATTAGCACTGGACTGTGACCTACAAGATCAGCAATTCAAACCTACCAGTTGCTGCTTGGAAACCCTATACAAGGTTGCTATGAGTCAGAACCAACTCAAAGGCACTTAACAACAACAATAGCAATTGGAGTCCTGGTGTGGTGCTGTGAGATAAAGCACTGAACCATAAGCTTGGTTTGAACCATAAGGTTGGTGGTTCAAACACAACAGCTGTTCCTTGAGCAGGGTTGCTATGAGTTGGAACTGACTTGGTTCTTAACAACAACCCACCTATATGAACCTAGCATGCAAAAGAGGAAATTTTCATTCATTTCTGAGAAATATTTTCTGTAGTCTTGTTAAAAGATTTTTAGTTCAAAATTCAAATTTGTATGTTTTCAAATTTTGATTAGAGAGGAGAGAAATACTGATATATTTATTGGTTTTGCTTATTACCCTTCTTCCTTTCCCTCTCCTTCCCCCAACACACACACACACACACACTTATTCTTAAAAGGCAATGGAAAAATAGTAGCTTGCCTTGGCTAGAAGTGTGATTGTTAGGGAACCAGCTAACTAAACTCCATTTTACTGTTTGCCCTGGGTAGAAGCCATTTGAAAGCAGGCTCCACCATCCTCCTAGCTCTCTACAGAATATCTGCACATTTACTGCTGAGATTTGCTCCTGTGGGCCTGTCTGTCTCCCCAGATACCTTCTTAAAACCATTAGCTTTGCTAGTCGTGCTATCTCTGTATTCCCCTGTTATGAATGAGGAAGTATTTGAGATGTTTTTATGCCCCTGATAATGCTTTGGGCTTCACAGAGTTACAAAGTGGGATTTTTAAGTATAATGTAATATGTTTACTTTTTCTTCTTTTTATTGCCAGAAAACATTAATGCCAAGTTAATTTATTGTGCTATCTCTTCAATACCTAAAAGAAAAGGCTGGCAGTTTTTCCTTTTTATTCATACTAAACCTACATGGGTCTATTAGTTTACTTCCTATATTTATGTATGTACTTTGTCCATATGTAACAATTACATAGTAGTTTTAATTGTATATGTAGGTTTTTCAGGGTCTGTAACGATTTGCTCGGAGTCTTTGATGTAGTGCAGAAACCCTGTAGCAATTTGAGTTACTCCCATCTTTGTTACATGGTGTTGTGGCTATTTGCTCTAAGCAATCAGTAACATTTTGATAGTTTTATGTTGTGGTGAGAAACAAAAAATTTCCAAAATACTGTGTTCATTTAACCAGCTGTACAGAGAAAGACAAAAATAAATAGCAACAACTTAGCAAGCATCACCTATTTACATACATTTGGTTTTTATTCTTATTTCCAGTGCTACCAATTTATAGGTGCCATTTTGTGCCCACACTAGATGATGTAGCAGAGTATGGGCT